TGCCGAGGGGAAGGGGTGTAGCTGAATCTTAGATGATTCACGCAGTGTGTCTGGCTGGCAGGCCAGAGATCAGTGTCTCTGTCTGCTCAGGGGTCTCAGCAGCAAACCCTGTGCAGGAGTGAGGGAGTTAAGCCAGGTCAGCATGTAAGTAGCTCATGCCCCAGTCTCTGTGTCTGTGCCCACGTTTTCTCTACATTCCCTGTTCCCCAGCTGCTGCGCTTCTGCCCCCAACCTAAAGGTAGCCTCTGCCCAACCCTCCTGCTGCAGTGTTTGCCAAAAGTGGCGAGGAGTCCTGTGGCACCTTATAGACTAACTGAGTTAGTGTTTGCCAAGTTTCAGGTGTTCAGCGCACTCCGAGCGGACCTACAGGATCATGCCCCCCTGTGAGCCAGGCATTCCCCTGCCTCTTGGGAATGCCTCTGCGGCTTTGGGGCCTCTGCGGCTTTGGCTTGATCTAGAGGTCTGAGCAGCTGGTTAGCTGTGGGATGGTGTGAGAGCTTAGGTGGTTTTGCAAGTGCCCCCTGGTGGGAACTTGGGTGCCCAGGGGACTTAGGCACTTGCAGTGTTAGGAGGCAGCTGAGCAGCAGTTTTGAAAATGTCCATCAGGCCCCTAATACCTTGTGGGCTCTGGCTTCAAGTGATTTGCCCCAGCTCAGAGAGAAACAGGAGCTTGATCCCAGGCCTCCTAAGTCTTTGCTTGCGTCTGCTCACTAAGCACAGCAGCTAGGGTGCATGATGTAGCCACTTCCTACAGCTGTGGAAGAGGGTTTCCTATTGTAGGTGTAGTTAGGTGGATTTACTGCCGTGACATCCTCACAGGTCTCTGGTTCCGTCGATGATGGTAACCAGAAGGCTGCTTGTGTGTGTGCTCAATGATGTGGGCCCAATGACCACAGCAGACCCTTATAGGGCCCCCAAAGACCACAAACCAGATAAGGCTTGAAGGTGCCAGGCCAGGTTTATTATTAAGCTAAGAACTGTAACAGTTGTCAGTACACTTTACTGAACCACTACACACGTGTACATGCCACAATGAAATGACTCAATCAGTGGGAAATTTCCACTGCCCCCCAGTCATACAAAGACTGACCCCCCCCCCAAGACACCACCTTATATACAGGTACAAACAAATCACACCTCATTACTGACGTTGTCAGGTTGCCACCCTCTGACACTACTTAGATACCACCCATCACCCTGTACCCTGTGGTTTGATTAGATCATCTCTATCCATCATTCTGTCATTTTAGACCCTTTCTTGAACCTGGGTCTGTATCTGTGAGGAGTGGGTACCAAGGTCTTTTTTAATGAGCTAGTGATATTCTGTGCTTTCCACTTATGACTAGTACCAATTAGTGCCCCTCAGTAGTGTGGAGGGATGGCTGTCCCAGCACCTCCCCTTCCACTTGAGGCCCCGCTTTTTCCAGGGGTGCAGAGCTGGCCCTCTCTACACCCTGCCCAGGGGCTCATGGAAGCTGTGGGCTCCCCTGAATAGCTATATTCACCTAACTTTTAAATTCAGACTGAGCCTCAGTTGGCAACAAGGTGGGGTGTCAGTCTACCCTGCACTAGCATGTCTTGCACTAAATGTCTGTCTGAACCCTGCTGCTTTGAAACAAAGCACTTAGTATGTTTGTTAGACAGCCCTGTCGGCTACAGTCCTAACCACTGGACTCACCTTCCTTTCTGCTGAGTATCTGGATAAGCACTTCGATTCAAGGCTGTTTTCCTGAGCCATACCAAATCTTTGCATTGTGTTCGTTCTACTTTAGCCTGAGCTAGCTCAGGGCCAAATCGCCACATTTGGCTTCCACACGGTCACACAGCCATAACGTGGTGCAGGATGCAGCCTGCCCTCGGATGTTGGAAAGGGGAAGTTATGAAATGTCGAGGACTTTGTGATGAGCCAATGCACAAGGACAAGGAGACTGAATTTGAGCAATTGCAAAAGGAAAGACAGGAAAGGAAGGGGAGAAGATAGTCAAGCCATTACGCTGACAGGTCGCATGCAGGCAGTGTAATTTATGCAGGCCTAGCCCAGAGATTTCTTATCCTTCTAGTGCTCAGCCTTTATCAGCTAAATGGGACCTGGTGCCTCTGGCTAAGTTGTGATATCTTATCTCCTGCGCTGGCATAGCAGAATGTATTGTTTTCAGTAGACTGCTGATCCAATATCCCTTCAAGGTACTATTTAAATATCATAGTCTGATGAGGAAAATATGGATAAGAGGCAAAAGGGGCAAACGGGGGGAGGGGGGGAGAGAAAAAAAAACACAAAGTGCTAGTAATCTGGAACCTCCTTTCACGGCTCAGAGACATCAGAGGAGTACTAGGAGTTCCAGTTTAGGGAGGCACATAAATAAACTGGACACAGTGAGGTGGGTTTTGTATCCAGCTGGTAGAGAAATGTGGGGCAAAAGCTGTTTTTCCAGATTTGTATCCGGTCACAAGCAGCAGCAACAGCAGCACATCATCTCTCAGCGAGCTAAGCGTATGTGTTACCATTTTCCCAGTCCGTCTGGAAAATAAGGACCAGATCCAAAGGCCATTGAAGTCAGTGGGAATGGTGCAGTCAATGTCAGTGGGCTTTGGAGCATGCCCTAAGAAAGCAGCTGTTAATGCAGAGACCAGTCCTGTAGGCTAAGAGCTGGCCAGTTTCTCACTGTAAGCTCCCTGCATGCCTATCAGGAGATCAAAATGCATTCATGGAGAATAAAGTCTTTTGTGGTTGGTCCATTCAGGGGCTCAGATCTCCCATTCACCTCAAGATAAATATAAGGCCCTCTGTGACTTGACACAGGTAGTATCTGAAGCATCTCCTTTTTGCAAATTCCTACTGCAGGCAGGTTATGCTGAGCACGGCACATGAAGGATGCAATTAGTGGCTTTTGAGTTTGATTTGCACATTTTCCAGCATCATCTTTGCAGTACAAATGTCCTAGAAGCTCAAGAGCAATGTGTCTGTGGTATGGAGCACTGTCTGTCTCAGGACGTGGGCTGTACGAAGTACATTTAACTAGAGCTCTTTCTGAGGACTTCTGCAAAGAGAGTTTGGTCCAGCAAGACCCATTACTGTATAAATCTGGGGTTTGTTTTATTTGCTTTTTGGGTGCTGAGCCTTTTGGGTGAATTTGATTCAGTCTGAGGGCTTTAAGCTGAGATTTTCATGAGCTAACTAGGTGCCAGGAACCAGGGCTTGACAAAAAACAGTAGCGTAGTTTTGCAGAAATGAGTTTTTGCCCATGTCTCATTTAGGGAACACGGAGTTCAGTTTATTCATTACCTTTTTTTGATAAAACCGTGAGCATTGGCAACAGGGATAATATCACCTACCTACACACGTGTTGTGAGGCCAGATGCAAGCAATGTTTGATGGAAAGCACCACAGAAGGGCAAATGATTAGGTTTTTTTGTCTCTGATACTGATATGGCCCCCAATACAGTTGTGTCTGAGCATCACACGATATTTAGTGCACCTAGGTAGGGAAATGCTATTATCTCTATTGTACAGATGGGGATTGAGACAAAGCGAAACTTAGAGCTTGTCCTATGTGGGACATTAGTGAATCTACAGTGCAATAGCTTGCCAGGCTGTCATGTGCTACGTGGCAAAGGATGCAAGTGTGTACTAGAAGGGGAGTATGGTCAGAATTCACTTTAGATTAACACTCTGGCTGGCAGTGCACCAACATTCCATGTAGACAAGTTCTAGGTGACTTGCTTAAGATGATGTGGGAAGTCGGTTGTAGAGAAGGAAACTGAACACTGGTGTCTGTTGGACAATTACTAGAATTAACTGTGGTCCACATGAGAGAGAAGGACGGGGTCTGTATCAGGTTGCACCTAGTTTATTGTTAGTTTAGGCAATATCTTGCAGATGTGACTGAAAAGCTATATGAGAACCAGGCCTCCCAAGATGAAACAAACAAGCTGGATGTCATTGGTGTAAGGTTTCACATGGGCCAAACGGGAGAGATGGCCTTAGGCTTCGAGGATAAGAGATTCTATATTTTCGGCTTTCATCTGCACCGGAAGATTTATCCTAATAAACCTCTGAGGTTATTACAAAGATTCATCTTGCCGCATGATACACATTTAAAAAATAAGTCATTTGTGTGATGTCATTGCTGCCTTTTAATTTCCTACATGAAGATGTTTTTTTTCAGTGGGTGTGTAATGTGCAGCCAAGAGGGCAGCTATTATGAAGGCAAAAATGCTAAGGAAATAAGTATTTATGTGCTGGATCAGACCAACGGCCCGGGTAGGCCAAGATCTGATCTCAGATAGCAGCCAATGCAACATGCTTCCAAGAAAAGATGTAAAACTTCCACCGTGGACATTGATGGCATGTGGAAATGCACCACATTTCTTCTGAACGCCCAGGAGTTTGTGACTGGCCTGTGGTGAAAGGAGGGGGGTTTGTATGCTTTAGAGATTTCACGTCCAGCTTCATGGAGTTATCCAGCTTGGGCACACACAATGCAACTGCTGTCTTTTGTGGAGGCATGTTTGGAAACACTGGTCACAGGTGTGCAGATGACTTTGATCATTAATGCTAAGAGGGGGAAGACATTTATTAGGCTATATGATCGGTTTGCCCCCAGGCCTTGGCCCTGATGGGGTATTCTAGAGCAGTGTTTCTCAACCTTTTTTTATAAAGTACCCCTTAACAATAAGTACCCCCAGTACCTAGAGTTTTCAGACACACAATTTTTTTGTCTACCATTTCAACACATTTGTTTAAACAACTTAATCGTAGCCGGGCGGGCGCTGACATTTTTGGGTGTAAAAAGTACAAAAATAATAAAATGCTGTAAAACTTAAAAATTCAGTTTTCTCCAAGTTTCAGTTTTGTTGATGCACCCCCCAGACTTCTCTCGAGTATGCCTAAGGGTACTCGTACCCCTGGTTGAGGAATACTGTTCTAGAGGGAGTCCTGTTGCATAGCCTTTGTGGCTGTATGTGCATGCCTCTGTGATAGACTTGCTCTTCTTTTGCAGGTGCTCCTTTTCAAAGGTCTCAGCATCCTCATGCTACCTCCTGCCGGCACTTCCATCTGGGCCCCCAACCTCAGATCTCGGCTGATTTTCCTCTCCCTCCCCCTGTCCAGCCACAGCCAGGCCTGAACCCTCACATGGCGACAGCTCACCAGCATAACGGCCCGCTACACCAGCCCCTCCCACCTTTGCCAGCCCTGCCGTTTCAGGATGTGACAGGACCCTCCTTCCTACCTCAAGCGCTACACCAGCAATACCTCCTCCAGCAGCAGCTCCTTGAGGCCCAGCAGCGTAGGCTCATGCCTCATCCCAGGTAAGTGACTTTTCCATCAAGAAATAGGGCAGCCAGCTATAAGCCAAACTAACCCACCCCAGCCAGCCCATGGCTTTCAAAGACGATATCTCTTCTTCTGTACGAGACCTAGCAAGACAAGCTTAGCTCTAGAACAGCTGGGGCTGCCGCTCAGTGCTGTCAGTAAGGCTCACACACATTTAAATCAGGGCTGAATTTGGCTCTCTATCCTGTGCAAGGAGTGCAGGGAAACAAAGAGCTTGAGGTCAAAGTAGACTTGTCCAGTTCGATGTCAAAGGATGTTCTACACGGGTCTGACCTGCTGGAGGGGATATATACAAGGAATGTGAATGGTTAACTGGTTACCCAGCAAGCATCACCCTTAATGGGTGATTCTTGCCAGGTATTAGGGATGTAATACTGCAGTCAATTAACCAATTAACCAATAAGTAAAAACGTATAGGTTAATGCTATAGACTACATGCATTCTCCTCCTAGGGTTGCCAGGTGTCCGGTATTCATCTAGACAGTCCAGTATTTTTGCCTCTAATCCTAGAACTGCATCTCCTTTTTGCAAATTCCTACTGCAGGCAGGTTATGCTGAGCACGGCACATGAAGGATGCAATTAGTGGCTTTTGAGTTTGATTTGCACATTTTCCAGCATCATCTTTGCAGTACAAATGTCCTAGAAGCTCAAGAGCAATGTGTCTGTGGTATGGAGCACTGTCTGTCTCAGGACGTGGGCTGTACGAAGTACATTTAACTAGAGCTCTTTCTGAGGACTTCTGCAAAGAGAGTTTGGTCCAGCAAGACCCATTACTGTATAAATCTGGGGTTTGTTTTATTTGCTTTTTGGGTGCTGAGCCTTTTGGGTGAATTTGATTCAGTCTGAGGGCTTTAAGCTGAGATTTTCATGAGCTAACTAGGTGCCAGGAACCAGGGCTTGACAAAAAACAGTAGCGTAGTTTTGCAGAAATGAGTTTTTGCCCATGTCTCATTTAGGGAACACGGAGTTCAGTTTATTCATTACCTTTTTTTGATAAAACCGTGAGCATTGGCAACAGGGATAATATCACCTACCTACACACGTGTTGTGAGGCCAGATGCAAGCAATGTTTGATGGAAAGCACCACAGAAGGGCAAATGATTAGGTTTTTTTGTCTCTGATACTGATATGGCCCCCAATACAGTTGTGTCTGAGCATCACACGATATTTAGTGCACCTAGGTAGGGAAATGCTATTATCTCTATTGTACAGATGGGGATTGAGACAAAGCGAAACTTAGAGCTTGTCCTATGTGGGACATTAGTGAATCTACAGTGCAATAGCTTGCCAGGCTGTCATGTGCTACGTGGCAAAGGATGCAAGTGTGTACTAGAAGGGGAGTATGGTCAGAATTCACTTTAGATTAACACTCTGGCTGGCAGTGCACCAACATTCCATGTAGACAAGTTCTAGGTGACTTGCTTAAGATGATGTGGGAAGTCGGTTGTAGAGAAGGAAACTGAACACTGGTGTCTGTTGGACAATTACTAGAATTAACTGTGGTCCACATGAGAGAGAAGGACGGGGTCTGTATCAGGTTGCACCTAGTTTATTGTTAGTTTAGGCAATATCTTGCAGATGTGACTGAAAAGCTATATGAGAACCAGGCCTCCCAAGATGAAACAAACAAGCTGGATGTCATTGGTGTAAGGTTTCACATGGGCCAAACGGGAGAGATGGCCTTAGGCTTCGAGGATAAGAGATTCTATATTTTCGGCTTTCATCTGCACCGGAAGATTTATCCTAATAAACCTCTGAGGTTATTACAAAGATTCATCTTGCCGCATGATACACATTTAAAAAATAAGTCATTTGTGTGATGTCATTGCTGCCTTTTAATTTCCTACATGAAGATGTTTTTTTTCAGTGGGTGTGTAATGTGCAGCCAAGAGGGCAGCTATTATGAAGGCAAAAATGCTAAGGAAATAAGTATTTATGTGCTGGATCAGACCAACGGCCCGGGTAGGCCAAGATCTGATCTCAGATAGCAGCCAATGCAACATGCTTCCAAGAAAAGATGTAAAACTTCCACCGTGGACATTGATGGCATGTGGAAATGCACCACATTTCTTCTGAACGCCCAGGAGTTTGTGACTGGCCTGTGGTGAAAGGAGGGGGGTTTGTATGCTTTAGAGATTTCACGTCCAGCTTCATGGAGTTATCCAGCTTGGGCACACACAATGCAACTGCTGTCTTTTGTGGAGGCATGTTTGGAAACACTGGTCACAGGTGTGCAGATGACTTTGATCATTAATGCTAAGAGGGGGAAGACATTTATTAGGCTATATGATCGGTTTGCCCCCAGGCCTTGGCCCTGATGGGGAGAGATCCTGGATTGCACTTAAATTCAAAAAGTGATCTCATGCTTAAAAAGGTTGGAGCCACTGATATAGACATACTGTTTTGCTGTAATTAACTTCCAAGGTGGCCTTCATTGTACATCATTGTGTTTTCATGTTGCATTCGGAATGACAGGAAAATAACCTTTTTTTATAAAGTACCCCTTAACAATAAGTACCCCCAGTACCTAGAGTTTTCAGACACACAATTTTTTTGTCTACCATTTCAACACATTTGTTTAAACAACTTAATCGTAGCCGGGCGGGCGCTGACATTTTTGGGTGTAAAAAGTACAAAAATAATAAAATGCTGTAAAACTTAAAAATTCAGTTTTCTCCAAGTTTCAGTTTTGTTGATGCACCCCCCAGACTTCTCTCGAGTATGCCTAAGGGTACTCGTACCCCTGGTTGAGGAATACTGTTCTAGAGGGAGTCCTGTTGCATAGCCTTTGTGGCTGTATGTGCATGCCTCTGTGATAGACTTGCTCTTCTTTTGCAGGTGCTCCTTTTCAAAGGTCTCAGCATCCTCATGCTACCTCCTGCCGGCACTTCCATCTGGGGTTTCTAACTGCTGGTGCCACAGATTCAGCCAGCACTAAAGCTGTGGTTGCTCAGGGTCGGGTCATCACGAGGGAGAGAGTCTGCAGCCCAGATGTTCAACTTCTGTAGCACCTAGGCCACTGCATGGAGAACCTCAGTGCCAGCACCTAGATCCAATGAGATATGTAGAGGCGCAGCTGTTCTGAAAATCAGCCACGAGAGATTTTTTTTTTCAACTTACAAACAGTAAGAGAGGAGTTCACAGTTTTGATTATGTAGGAAGAAATCACGGAGCGGTTTCTTACAGAAGACACCTGACTGATCTGCCCCCAGTGCTCAGAAAACTCAGACTTGTGAAGGAAACACATTAAGCATATACACTATATCGCCGTGTTTAATAATGATGCCTAAAAGCTTGTGGGATATTGGAGTAGGCGAAAGTTACACGAAGATAATGGGGAAAACATTTGGCTTCTTAATTATAAAACCGTTGGGGACATGAATTTCAAAGTACAAAGACAGAGTCTTCTCTCAGACTAGGGTAACTCAACTGAAGCCACTGGAAGTATGGGTGCAATCAGTAACTATACATAATGTATACTGGGCAACAGAGAAAATGAGTAGTTTGCCTGAGAACTATGAACATTTGTTGAAGATTTCATAACCATGAAAGAGACTGTATCATACATTCTGGATCTGTTCAGTTATACATGCATGTTGTGGGAAGACAGAAGATCATCATTCTGGATTTAGGCTTGATGGTGATAATCTAGTTACAGGCAAAGTAAATGCTTCTGATTTTGAAGAACATTCACTCAAGAAAGGCAACTTGGCTTCAAACTGGACTGATGACTGAAGATAATTTGAACTCATCGGAGATGGAAGTCGATGTCTAGACTGCATGTCTTGAGAGAGTGGTTTGTATAAAATATAGGAAGGGGAGACCTATTTGAAAACGTATGGAAACCATTTGTGGGTTATACCAATGGATCAGGAATTCGAGTATGAAACTTTGCAATGAGGCTGTGTTTGGAAGGATTGATATGGAGTGAAACGTTCCTCCTTTCCATATGTTTTCTTCCTTCAAGAGGTTTTCTTTTACTTTACTTGTGCATATTTTGTTTTGCACAGGTTAGTTCTTTAAGTGGGTTCAAGGCAGTGGTTCTCAAACTTTTTGGCCTGTGGCCCACCTGGCTCAATGCAAACCTTTTCCATGGACCACCAATTGCTAGTGAAAACTCACCATTAATTACATAATTACACCCGTGCCATTTTGCTAGTGCTGCAGCTAGGGAGAGCGGTTTAATTTAATATTTTCTTTCTTACTGGTTAAGTTATCAAACAAATTAAGCACTTTAACTTCTCATGTTAGCTATCAGACTTCATTTTAAATAAAGTAAAATACTAATTTATATCCAACACAAAAGGTTTTAATGTTTTCTTTATTTGTGACAGCGGTGGGGAAACTTTTTTGTAACGGGGGCCACAGAAAAATCCTGACAGCGGTGGGGAAACTTTTTTGTAACGGAGGGCACAGAAAAATCAGTTTGGGACCACACAAGTGAAAAGCAAGAAAAAAACCCTCCAAAGCTCCCCAACCCTCACTGGTCTGGCCCCCAACTAAGATACCTCATTCCTCTGGCGCTCCCAACCCCCTGGGTCGAGGGAAAGGGACACTCAATTAATTGATATTTAACATCCCTACCGGTACTGGTTAATTGGTAACCAGGAGCAGCCCCCACACGGAAGACTGAGGTTCAGGGCTTCCTATGGGCTGGATTTACTCCTCTGAGGTTTTGTGGACCACCCCCCCCAGGCTCTGAGGTGGGGACAAAATTAGGGGTTCAGTGTGCAGGACAGGGTTGCCAGTGAGTGGGAGAGGGGTGAGAGTGCAGGATCTGGGCAGGAGGTGGGGTACAGGAGTGGGGTGAGGGTGCGAGGGCTGGGTGGAAGGTGGGGTGCAGGAGTAGGCTGGAAGTAGAGTGTCTGCCCAGGGGCGAGGGTGCAGGAGTGGGCTGGGCGAAGGGTATCTGGCCAGGGGGAGAATGCAGGAGCAGGGTGAGGCTAGGATGTTTGACCAGGGGGAAAGGTGCAGGAGCCCGCTGGGGATGAGATGTCTGGCTGGGGGGAAGGTTCAGAAACAGGCTGGGGTTGTGGGGTCTCAGGGCGGTGCAGGAGCACAGTCGGGGTGTGGGGTCGGCATGAGGAGGCGGGTGGGGGGGCACTTACTTGCTTTTGCACCCCAGGCCTCTCCCAGGCATTGTGTTTTAGCCATAGCCTTCTGCTGCTCCCATTGGCCTGTCAGTGCCACACTCAGCAAGGCGGCCCCAACTCACTCTGCTCTCCCCTGGCGTCTCTCATAGGGAGGGAGCAGGACCATCGCTGCACTCATTGGAGGGAAGCAGAGCGACTCGGCTGGGGAGCAGAGCAAGGGCAGGGAAGAGACTGCCAACGAGTGTGGGGGAGGGTGGGCCCCATTGCTGGCCCCAGAACCCTATACCTGCTAGTCCTCCTAGCCGCATCAGTTGTGGGAAGAGGCAGGCTGGGAGTGGAGCAAGGGCGGGAAAGAGGTGGAGCAAGGGCAAAGTAGGAGCAGGGAGGAGGTGGAGCTTGTAAACTAAGAAATGTGGATAAAGTGCTGGACAGCGACCAAGGAGACCTGGTTTCCTTTACTTTTGGCTTTGCCAGTGACCTTACATGGGATTTTTGGGGAAGTCCCATCACCTCTCTGCCTGTGCTGCCCTTCCCTCTCATCCTGTCCACATCTTGTCTGTTTAGTCTGTAACCCCTTAAAAGGGGTGTCCATTTCCATCACTGCTCTTTTGTCGCCTTATTTACTACTAGCAGAAATACCCGGTGTCACCCGGGGAAAATCTAGTAAAAGGTGTGATGAATGAACTATGTCAATGACATTAACATAACATATTGTATTGGAAATACTTTTCTCATATATATTACTGTAAGAAATTAACATAGCTAGTACTTTTTCTGTTATCATAAGGAAAGGATCTCGTAGTTGCAGTTTGTGTGACATGCTTAAAAGAAGAGTCCAGAAAATGCCTATGATCAGGTGCTACTAAAAGCTAATTAGTGGCCCAATTGCGGCTCTGGGGGCCCAATTGGGGCTCTGGGGGAACTGATTTTGAGATATAACCAATCCAATGATTGAAGTTAGGAAATAGGAGTATCTGTGGAACATTTTGTGTTTCTATGCTCAGGTGCTACTAAAAGCTAATTATCAGTGGGCCCAATTAGGTCTCTGGGGGAACCAGGAGAACCGATTTCAAGATATAACCAATCTAGTAATTTAAGTTAGGAAATCAGTAGTATCTGTGAAAAAGTTGGGGTTTCTAGCTCTTACCATTTTGGAGATCTTTTGGGACAAACAAACTTTCAGAAATATTTATAAGATTATGTGCTTAGACTGTGACATAAAAATAAAATTTCATAAAAGAACAAGATCTTTTCCATGTCTAATTTAAAGAAAACATTAGATATTGGCACAGAGAGTACACTGATAAAGTTTGCAGATTATACCAACGCGGGAGGGGTTGCAAGTGTTTTGGAGGACTGGGTCAAAATTCAAAATGATCTGGATAAACTAGAGAAATGGTCCGAGGTAAATAGGATGAAGTTTAATAAGGAAAAATACAAAGTACTCCAGTTAGGAAGGAACAATCTGCTTCACACATACAGAATGGGAAGTCATTGTCTAGGAAGGAGTACTGCAGAAAGGGATCTAGCAACCATAGTGGACCACAAGCTAAATATGGCTACGTCTACACTGAATTGCTTTTCTGGGATACTGTCCAAGGAGTGCATCTGCTTTTTCAAAAATATTTTCAAAAAAAGTGGACGTGCTCTGTCTCCATCCCAGTAAACCTCATTTTATGAGGAAGAAGGAATATGTCGAAAGAAGACTTTTTTTCCAAAATTTGGCGCTATGTAGATGCACCAAATTTCGGAAAAGCCTCTTTTGACGGTAAAGAGGAAAAAGAAGCAGAAAAATTGTTTCTTTTTTCGATTTATCTTAGCAGTGTAGACCTAGCCTATGAGTCAATAGTGTGACACTGTTGCAAAAAAAGCAAACATGATTCTGGGATGAATTAATAGGAGTGTTGTGAGAGAGAAACGAAAAGTCATTCTTCAGATCTACTCTACGCTGATTAGGCCTCAATGAGAGTGTTGTGTTCAGTTCTGGGCACCACATTTCAAGAAAGACGTGGTGAAATTGGAGAGGGTCCAGAGAAGAGCAACAAAAATGTTTAAAGGCCTAGAAAACATGAGCTATGAGGGAAGACTGAAAGAATTGGGCTTGTTTAGTTTGGAAAAGAGACGCCAGAGGGGACATGATAGCAGTTTTTAAGTACCTAAAAGGCTATTACAAAGAGGGAGAAAAATTATTCTCCTTATCCTCTGATAGGATAAGAAGCAATGGGCTTAAATTGTAGCAAGGGAGGTTTAAATATGACATTAGGAAAAACTTCCTAAAGAGTGTTTAAACACTGGGATAAATTGCCAAGGGAGGTTGTGGAATTTTTATCATTGGAGATATTTAAGAGCAGGTTAGATAAATATCTATCAGGGATGATTTAGCTAGTGCTTTCCCCCTCTCTGAGGGCGGGGAACTGGACTTGACCTTTTGAATTCTCTTCCAGTTCTAGTGTTCTACGAGTCTATGGAAGGAAGGAAGAGGCATTTGGTGAGGGAGCTCTAGGTGCACAATATTTCAGCTGGCAGTCTGCCGATATTGTACCCCTCTGACAGCATTTGGCCCTGTCCTTCTCACCTCTAAACCCTCTTGCCCTTCTCTACACCCCTGCAGGCGGACTCAGGAGCGCATGTCTGTTCAACCTCATCGGTTACATCCGGGCTTTGACTTCAGCCATCAACTGCAAACTCCTCAACCCATGGGGCCCCAGCCCAGGTATTTAGCTGAAGGCACAGACTGGTAAGTTTTTTATTTCCCCTGGTATTTTGGATGATGCATAAAACCAAAGCTATAAGCAGATGTGGTCATGGAAGATCATGGCCCCTGGATACCATGGGGAAATGTTTATACTTTGACTTATTATAGTAAATGAAAGATAACCTTCCCGTTATAACATAATAAAACGTTGCACTTGTATAGCAAGTAGGGGTGTTGCTGGAGAATTCTGCCCAGAGATGTAATCGAATAAGGGACTGGAAATAGAAGAAAAGCCGCCTACAGTACCTGGGATTCCCAGGCAGTCTCTCATCCAAGCGCCCAAGGTTAGTGTAGCTTGCGAGGTCAGCTGAGATCAGGTGCATTCAGTCAGGTGTGGCCTTGGAAGCTGTGTAGTGCATGAGGCAGGGATTGGAGGAAGAGGATGGAGGGTCTTATGGTGAAAGCCGAGGGAGGTTGTGGAATCTCCATCTCTGGAAATATTTAAGAGCAGGTTGGACAGACACCTGCCAGGGATGATTTGGAAGATGCTTCATCCTGCTGTGAGAGCAGGGGACTGGACTTGACAACCTCTTGAGGTCTCTTCCAGTTCTAGCGTTCCTTGACTCTATGAATGCTGCCCTGGAGAACTGGAGTCGACCTTGCCTCTGTGGCTGACCTATTGTGCTGCACTGGGAGGCAATTCATTTAAGCCCAGCTGTTTGCAGGAGATTATTTGTGTGCTCTCCATCTGCTGGGTGCCTGGGGCAAGGGTGCCAGAGCCTTCCCAAAAGTGGGAGGTGAGGACTTCCACCTCTGAACCCCACCCTCCTCTTCCCCTGACCCCAGCCAAGTGGATAGCTGATGTGGAACCAAGAGCTGCCCCCTGCAGGGGGGAGGTGGGAGCTGAAAGCAGCCCCGTACCCATGTCCCTACTCCCTGGGGCTCCTGCCCAGGGCAGCAGGAGGGTCCACAGCTCCTCACAGCTGCTCATGCATCTATTCCTATGACCTGGCTGCAGCTCCAAGGCCCCTCCCCTGGCTAGAGCTGGGCCAGGGACAGCTATGCAGACAGCAGTGGGGAGCTGGTGCAGAGTTGTGGATTTTTTGAAAGCAGCCCCGTACCCATGTCCCTACTCCCTGGGGCTCCTGCCCAGGGCAGCAGGAGGGTCCACAGCTCCTCACAGCTGCTCATGCATCTATTCCTATGACCTGGCTGCAGCTCCAAGGCCCCTCCCCTGGCTAGAGCTGGGCCAGGGACAGCTATGCAGACAGCAGTGGGGAGCTGGTGCAGAGTTGTGGATTTTTTACCGGGGGGGGGCAAGGGCACAGGTTTGGGGGCTGCTCTCAGGCCCCCTGCACTGCAGGCAGCTGGAGGGTCCACACAGCTCCCAACCACAACTGCCCGGGCTCCATGGTTGGGCTCCTCTCGGGACTGACTGTGGGTGGAGAAGAGAAGGAGAAGAGGACAGGGTGAGGTGCACTGTCCTATCTGAGACCATCTACAGTGAGAATAATCAGTCTGGTCTCCTGCCTTAGCTAATAGCCAGCTGGCATTGAGCTTATGCTGTAGAGGCTCATGCACTAAGCTCCAGAGGTCCCATGTTTGATTCTACCTATCGGCATTACACCAGGCCTGCCTATTTTCAAAAAGTGGGAGGGTACAGCCCCCTGACCTCACCTCCCCGGTTCCGGTGCCAACGGCCTGGTGTCTGATTTGTGGAAATGCTGAGCGCTCACAGCTGAAACTGAAGTCAGTGCAACATGTAAAGTGCTGTGCAGTGCTAAGTATTCTGACACATTAGGCACTAGATGTCTCCAGTTGGGCGCCCAAAACTAGTAGATACATTTGACTTTAATCTCTTTGTATCCCAGGTCTCCTTCTGTAAAATGGGGATAGTCGTACTGCTCATCTCTGAGGGGTGTTCTGAAAATGAAATAATCCCTACTTGTGAAGATACTGTAGCGATGAAAACCACAAAAACCAAATCCCACAAGGAAATGAATAGTTCTGTTTTCAGGAAATGGTTCGAATAGCATGCCGTACAAAAGGCACACGTATTGCATAGCTGCTCAGTAAGTGAGCACCGCCCATTCTACACACTGAATGTGCTGGGAATGCTGCAAAAAATATAATATGTGATCGTGTCATGAAAGACTGGATCATAAATTACATATTCACAGAAGGGATGAATTAAGGTTGCATAGGTGACCTGAAATGCTGGCATTTCCTAGTGTGTGACCTTTGTAACCTTGAAGTTCAATATAAATGTGGTCTGATTCATCTGTCACTTTTTCTCAAGCTTTCCCTTTGAAACTAGTGAGGGCAGAATTTGGCCCACTATGCCCTGATAAGTGCTTTGGATTCTCTCTGAATGGAATCTCTCTCTCTCTCTTTTCTCTCTCTCTCTTGTGATAATTATGTTCATTATAACGGACCACCATAACCTCCTGATTTTGCCTTGGTTGTTCAGTAGTTTCATAAAACCGAAGGAGTGGCTGTCAGAAAATCCTATATGTGTGTGTATACGTTTGGGTGAATCACATCCCCTCAGGGTGCTTGTACTAGTCTACCCAGTGACAGATATAAAAACATTCCTGTAACCTATTAATACATCAGTGGAGCTTGCGTTCACTTGAAGGTAAGGGAGTGTATTTTTACATGAAAACGGCATGGGTGGAATTGCTGAAAGTGATCAGAGATTTCCAACAGCCATATCTTTATTAAAACCCCTTTGATTCCACAAATTGGCCTGTGAATATGCATTTAGTGAACACAATCTAACCTATTATCCTGGCTCTAATCCTTCAATTATTATTTCCAAGTGAGATGAGTCCTACCAGCATTGCAGGAAGATGTGAATCTGTGATGTCTGAGCATCAAAAGGTTGCACCAATACTGGCTTGTGCTAGAATAGTGTTGCTGGTGATGATTTTTGCTTTCTCCAGCTACTTTGTCATATTTATTCATTTTAAAAAAATGCTCAAAAAAAATCCAATATGGTCTGTTAATTGGGATCCTCCTGCCTGTGAACCAACATCAGGTAGTAGGCCTGATCTTTTTAAAGTTAGGTGTGCAATTGTATGGTTAATTTGTTGATGCCATTGTAATGCTGCAGTAATGTGGGTAAATTATGTAATTATACAGAGAAGTGATGTGCACTTGAGAGCATGCCTTGTCCTATGAATAGGGTACACATCTCTGAGCCAAAAGACCAGGGCTCTATTTCTGACTCTCTGAGTGGCAGGCTGTATACAGACAGACAATTAATATTACCTTGGTGTGTGTCTGTTTCTTTTGCCCTGTATATAGGCTGTGAGATCTTCAGGGCAGAGAGAGCATCTCAGTGTGTGTTTATACAGCTCCTGGCAGAATCGGGCCATGATCTCATTTAGGGCCTCTAAGCGCTAAAGTGACGTCCGTTATAATAAATGGCGGAGGGAAGGGGATTTGACATGTTTGGGGTGGACCTGTCATGAAACCATTTGTTTGCTGTTCCTTACTTAACTTCAGCTTCCTCACAGCACCATGGTATATGGGCCTAAGGATTTAGGGAAGATTAGCAAACCATTCTTTGGGATACATGCTTAACTCAGACTACAGTTATGCTATGAGCGAGGATTGTGATTGCCCTGCAGCCTGAGTATAAGAACATCCCAGTCTGAGCCTCTTCCTGCAGTTCCCATTGGCTGGGGATGGCAATCCACAGCCAATGGGAGCTGCAGTCACCAGTACCTGTGGAGGTGCAGGTAAATGTAGTGACAGCAGCCTGCCAGGGGCTAACCCTGGCAAACTGACCCTGTTTTAGTGTCTACCCCGTCTTAGACCCTCCTGCGAAGACATCCGTGCAAACAGCTTCCTGCACTTACTCCAGGTTCCTACGGCTACAGTTAGGCATCGATGCAGCAGTCTGCCAGGGCAGATGTCATTGCATGAATGGAGCCTTAGATTATAATAAGCTCCTTGAAAGCAAAGAGTCATTACCCTCTCTGTATAGCATCATGAATACCTGTGAAACTATTATGCATATGTAACTAGTATCAGAGTCACGAATAGACCACTGGACTACACTGTTTCTCACCTTCCCCCAAACCATGCAGACATGCTGAGCCAGCGCTGATGCCTTGCCCCCCTCCCCTGCCTCCCTCTCTCCCCTTGGATTGTCTACACTGGCGCGATCTCGTGCCAAAGCAGTCCCTCTTACGCAAAAACTTGCTGCCTGTCTACACTGTCCGTGTGTTCTTGCGCAAGTAAACTGACGTTCTAATGTATGAAATCAGGGCTTCTTGTGCGAGAACTCTGATGCTCCCGCTCAGGGATAAGACCTTTTGCGCAACTGTTCTTGCGCAAGAGGCCAGTGTAGACAGGCAACGTGAATTTCTTGCACAAGAAAGCCCTATGGTTAAATGGCCATCAGAGCTTTCTTGCACAAGAGAGCGTCTACACTGGCACAGATGCTCTTGTGCAAAAACACATCTCTTACGCAAAAGCACGTGCCAGTGTAGACACTCTCTTCTGGAAGAGTTTTTGCACAAGAACTCTTCCACAAAAGAGTTCTTGTGCAAGAAGCTGCCAGTGTAGACGTATAACAGATTTATTGGAGCAAAAGCTTTTGTGGGCAAAGACCCACTTGGTCAGATGCATGTAGTGGAAATTCCAGAGGCAGGTATAAATATACAGGCACCGATTAGGTTCAGGTATGTGCCATCTCACGTGTGCTGTGAACCCCTGTGCTCTCCTAAGCAGAGCAGCAGTGGGTGAGATCAGCCCTCCAGTAGGGACTCTCCAGTGACTACACAGGTGTGGCAGAAAGCACTGTAGAAGGGTAGTTTAGTCAGCATTGGACTGTTGCCCTTGTGAGCTGTTGGGCAGCTCTGTTCTGTGAGCTGGGCCAGCTTTTGAATACTGTATAAATTCCAGCTCCATGATTTCATGGTGATGTGAAAGCTCCCATGGTCATAATTGACCAACGCCTAATGATGTTCTGGCTTCCTTCCAGTTTGAGTGATTGATATGCTGCCTACCTAAAATTCTCCTTGTAGTGTCAATTCTTCTCTCCCTGTGCCACTGTTATTAAATAGATACCTGGTTTCACATTCAAAGTGGCTACATTTTAGTGGCAGGTGAGGCATCTCCCATGTCTGTAAGGTGTATAAGCAAAGTATGAGTAGTTTTAATAAAAAAAAATACAGTGGAAGGGGCATATTCTGTAGCCAGTAGAATTCAGATTTACATTGGCATGAAAGAGCAAAATCTGGCCTGTTCTGAACCAGTTGATTCACATCCATCATATCCTGGAGGACTAATATGGTTAGACAATTATTCTTCTTCCAGCTATGAAGCCTGTGGGCCTATTTCTCTACTGCCCTGAACATATGAAAATCGGGACTCTTACCACCACTATGCACCCACCTTGACTAGGTGTAAATGACTTGTACAAAGAGCAAGGCAGTGTAGAGTTAGACCTAGTTCTTCTCTCTTACATTGTTATAAATGTGGGGTGACTCCTGCCCTCACTGGCCTCATTCAGGATTTGAGCCATGGCTGTTGAGAACGGGATCTAAGGAACCGCGTGCTCAGAATGGGAGAGCATGCTATGAATTTTACCTGGCTCTGTGTACGGGCTCAGAAATAACGTGTGGCATTTAAAAGGAAGATTGGATTTGCATTTTCTGCATGTATGTATTTTTGGTTTTATTCTTACAGGGACCTTAGTGTTGATGCTGGACTGACGCATGCCCAGTTCCAGGTCAGGCCAGTCCCCCAGCACTATCAACATTACTTAGCTACGTCTAGAATGCACCATTTCCCCAGAAACACATCATCAGCGCAGATGGTAAGTGAAACGCTTTGGCTGGAATATGTTTTATGCATTGTCTGCCAGAAGGCAATCAAAATAGAGGCTGTTGTCTTTCCATCACCTGTCTTCTAAGAGTGGGAGGAAGTCTGCCAGAGAGGCTCAGACTGAATCATTGTACTCATCGGCCAGGAAGAGTAACTAGGATGAATTCTGTTACCTTCAGTGGAGCTACACCAATTTTACACTAGCCAGTCCACAAAATTTAGACATAATGGAAAAGATTTGGAATGAACAGTGGATACTAGGGTAAATTCTGCTACCAGGTAAACCACTGTAAATCCAAAGTAACTTCACTGAAGTCCAGTTATTCCAAATTCATATTAGTTTAGCTGTGAGCAGAATTTGAGTCATTGGTGCTGGGACTCATTTAGACTAAACACTGTTTACATTATTCTGGCAATGGAAAGTGACTTGGAAGTGGATTTAAATGTAATTTAATTTCTTTTTAGTGCCAGAGTAGCTTGAAGGGACTTTAGGAGGTCAGACGAGATGATCATGATGGTCCCTTCTGACCTTGAAAACTGATTTTATGAGAATCATTCCCATTGTATTTCATCCCACTCAAAAGGGTCCTTGACACAAATCTTTAAAACCTATTCCTATTTAAATTTTAAAGGAGACCAGCAGCACAACGAGTACAGAGTTTCTGGGGTTTTTTTTTTGAGGTATTACTAATATAACACTTATAAAAATTTAAAAAACAACGAATAGTCTAGTAGCACCTTAAAGACTGACAAAACATGTAGATGGGATCATGAGCTTTTGTGGGCAAAACCCATTTCCTGGATTTTGCCCACAGAAGCTCATGATCCCATCTACATGTTTTGTCAGGCTTTAAGGTGCTATTAGACTGTTCGTTGATTTAAAAAAAATGTCCAGTTACAGACTAACTCAGCTCCCCCTCTGAAGCTTTTTAACACTTAGTCTACACTAGGTTGTTTTTGTTTTGTTTTGTTCAGAAAAGGCAGTGCAAATGAAGTGCTCATTAGCATTTTCTCGCACTTCATTTGCATAATGTCTTCCAATGCTTTTTGTACAAAAGCTAGCAGTGTAGACGGATCCATTTTGCGCAAACCCCCCCTTTTGCACAAGATCCTTATGCCTCAAAAAAGGAGGTATACAGATCTTGCGCAAAAGGTTTTTTTGGTGCAAAACGGATCCATCTACACTGCTAGTTTTTGCGCAAAAAACCTCTTGTGCAAAAAGCATTGGAAGAGATTATGCCAACTAAGCGTGAAAAAATGCTAATGAGCGTTTCATTTGCATTGCTTTTTCCACAAAATAACCCCTAGTGTAGACATAGCCTTATAGTATGCTAAAACTAAATGCATTACAAGAATCTAATTTAGTTTTCATCATTTATGGTCTTAATGGTATGAGTTCAAAATTGATCAGTCCGATCCTCTCCCACCCCCCAATCATGTTCTTAAAAACAAATGTTCTTCTGGGTCCATCTCCTGATTCATGACTCTTTAAGAAATCCCTCCTCCCCTGTTTGTGTGTGATGGTTTCAAGATGGAAATTCAAGATGAAATTTTAATAACTGGGAATCTGTTATCCTTTATGGGTGGTTTGTAAATCTTAACATCAACACTATGCTGTTTGTAATTCTCTGCTCTTTACTTGACGTGGATGATGACCAGTTTCACGTGGGTGATGTCTACACTAGAGACTACTGCAGCATATCTGTCTCACTGCAGCTGTAAGATTCCACATGTAGCCACTCTATGCCGACAGGAGAACACTCTCTTGTTGGCATAATTAAATCACCCCCAATGAACGGAGGCAGCTACATCTGTGGGAGAGCGTCTCCCACTGACACAGAGCTGTTCACACCAGTGCTTCTGTTGGTTTAACTTATGTTGACCAGGGATGTGTTTTTTCACAGCCCTGACTGACAAAGATTTTACCAACTAGTGCTAGTGTAGCTATAGCCTTGGCAACAGTCAACAAATCCTGTGTGTAAGGGGGAAGTGGTAGATGTGGTATATCTAGACTTTAGTAAGGCATTTGATACAGTCTTGCATGACCGTCACATTAAAAAACTAGGGAAATATAACCTAAATCAGGGGGAGGTAGGATACAGCTGGAGCCGGATCCACCAGGACCCTCAGGCACAGAGCAGCCCCAAACTGCTTGGTTTCTGGCCAGTAGGCACAGAGGGTACATCTACGCTAGCCCCCTTGTTCGAACTAGGGAGACTAATGAGGGCGACCGAAATTGCAAATGAAGCGCAGGATTTAAATATTCTGCACTTCATTAACATGTTCCCGAGCGGTCGCCGTTTTGGAAACTGAATAGCCCGGAATAACTGCCCACATCTACACGCGGCAGAGAAATGGGAGTTCGAAGTAAACCCCTTAACTCGAATTAGCTGTTTAAACCTCATTCCACAAGGAATAACAGCTAATTCAAGTTAGAAGTTTACTCACCCCCTCCCACAGCCCAATTCCCTGCTCCCAGCTACCACCCCAGGTCACCTCCCAAGCCCTCTGTACCTCTTTCCCCATCTTTAGGTCACAACTCCCTCCTAGACCCTGCACCCACTCTTACATCCCTCCCCAGACCAAAATCCTCTCCTGCACACCAAGCCCCTACCCCTGATCACAGACATTCTGCCCTCCTTCACCCAAGTTCCCTCTCGGACCCCACACCATCTCCTGCACCCCAGTTCCCTACCCTGAGCTGCCTTCTGCACCCCCTCCATAGAAAAATGTGGCCACTGCCCACTTACTAAAATCTAGGAGTGGTCCCCCACATCAAAAATTATTGCCCAATCCTGACCTAGATGAATCTGGTATAAGGTGGGTGCACAATGTGTCAGGTAACCATTCCCCAACAGTAGTTATCAGTGGTTCACACTCATATTAGAAGGGCATAATGCGCGAAGTTCTACAGGGGTCAGTTCTGTTCAATAACTTCATTAATTATTTAGATAATGGTGTTTGGAATACACTTGTACAGTTTGCAGATAATTCCAAATTGGGAGGGGTTGCAAATGCTTTGGAGAATAGGTTTATAGTTCAAAATGATCAGGAGAAATGGGAGAAATAGTCTGAAGTAAATAGGATGAAGTTCAAAGTACTCCACTTAGGGAGGAACAATTAGTTTCAAACATATACAAAATGGGAAGCGACTGTCTAGGAAGGAGTACTGCAGAAAGGGATCTATGGGTTACAGCAAACCACAACTAAAGGTAACAGTGTGACACTGTTGCAAAAAAAGCTAGCATCATTTTAGGATGTATTAACAGGAGTGTTGCAAACAAGACACGAGAAATAATTCTTCCACTCTACTCTGTGCTGATTGGTTCAGTTGTGGGCACCACATTTCAGGAAGGATGTGGAGAAATTGTTAAAAAGTCCAGAAAAGAGCAACAAAAATGTTTAAAGGTCTAAAAAACATGACCTATGAAGAAGATTAAAAGAATTTGGTTTGTTTAGTCTGGAAAATAGAAGACTGAGAGGGGACATAATAACAGCTTTCAAGTACCTAAAAGGGGGAAGAAGAAAAATTGTTCTCCTTGTCCTCTGATGATAGGTCAAGAGGCAATGGGTTTAAATTGCAGCAAGGGAGGTTTAGGTTGGACATTAGAAAAAAAACTTCCTAGCTGTCAGAGTGGTTAAGCTCTGAAATCTATTGCTAGTGGTTTGTAGAATCTCCATCACTGGAGATCTTTAAGAGCCGATTTAGAGAAACACCTGTCAGGGATGGTCTTGGTGTTGGTCGTGTCATGAATGCAGGGGACTGGACTTGATGACTTCTTGAGGTTCCTTCCAGTTCTATGATTCTCTCTTGCTAGCAGGATGTTGTGTTTTGGATGTTGACCCAGTTTTCCGTATCGTGTGCATCTTGTGATGCATCTGATGAGGTTTTTGTTTGTTTTTTTTTCCTTTAAAGGTCCCAGCTCCTAGAATCAAGTCACTAGATAAGAACCCAAGCTCTCCTCTTTAAAATTCTCGGTTTCTAGTTCTCCTAGTTTAAACAAAAAAAATTCAAGGTGACCCGAAGGCTGCCTGAATGGTTAAAAACCAGAGGACAAATAAAGAGAACCCCAAATGTATTGTTGGATTAATTTTAAACTGATAAGTGATTTTTGAATGTCTAGGCAATACTGTGTCCAGTATTGTAAATGTACTCTGAGTAAATATGATTACTAAAACCCCTATGATTTCTTTGTTTAAAAAATCTTCATTTTGGGCTTAAAACTAGTAGTCACTCTGCTTTGAGGTTTTTCCCCTATAAAAAAATGTGATTTGAAGAAGGCAGGCACCTAAAGGATGTGTAGATTATGTGTTAATACAGGTGATTTGTCTCTCTCCCTACCCACCCCTCACAGGTTGTTCATGAAATCAGAAACTACCCTTACCCTCAGCTTCAGTTACTTGCTCTTCAGGGACTGAATCCAAACAGGCACACATCTGCTGTAAGGGAAAGTTATGAGGTAGGTACCTTCTGGTTTAAAAGATTGTTTAACCCGCTTTTGCGTCCCCTGGAACCTGTGTAAGTCCTGTCATAAACTTTTTAACATTGTTGTCTCTAGAACAGCTGTTCCAAACTGAAGCCTACGTGGCTCGTTAAATAGATGCTGTTAAGTTCCCATTGAAAGCTCCTTGAAGTTGATGGAATGACGGGGGAGGGGAGAGGGAACGTTGGATCAGGCTCTTCGTTATTAGCACACACATCCAGGTGTGGTGCACACAACAGCTGAGTACACAGAATTTACAGATGCACTTACAGGCCAGCAGTTATTTAAAACTTTGACCCAGCTTATACCCTGTCTGGAAAACAGATGGTGACATTAACTCTTATTTGGCAAAATATTGCTGTCCAGATTATTTTAAAACATGTGATTTTAATATCAATTCGGGTGGCGATGAAGTCTAGCAATTACAGTAAGAGACGATTGGTTTCCGGACTCCTGGGTGCTATTTTTGACGCTGGTTCAGTGCAAGGCCATAAACACATCACTTAATTTCTGTTTTCTTTTTCCTGTCTGGAGACAAGACTCCATCTACTCCACAGGGGTGAACTGAGAATTAACTAATGTTTTATAAATCACTAATTGGTAGAGAATAGCCTGACAGAAAACTGTTGTTTCAAACACCCTGAACTTGTGAGTGTCGGAAATCCACATCTGGATTCTCGGGCCCATGTCTGTTAATTGGAGATTCTTTGAGAAAAGACCTCATGAAAGCACAACACAGTATTAACATGAGCGTGCATTTTCTGTGAATAAATGGTAAGAAAAGAACCTTACATTCCATGTTCATTGCAAAGCAGAATGAACCGGCAGGGATTGTCTTGGGAGATTGTCATATGCCTTGTGGATGTTTTCTGCTTAAGGAACTGCTGCAGCTGGAAGACAGATTAGGCAGCGTGAACCAGGGAGCTGTGCAGAACACCATCGAGAGATTCACTTTCCCACACAAATATAAAAAGGTGAGAAATCAGCCAGGGTTAAGTCTATAGGCAACTCTCCCAGAAGGCCTGACTTGTGCTTCCTAGAGAAATGAGTGTAGCTGCTAAAAAACACATGTAACAATGCTTGTCTCAGGATTACTCATGGATAGGAAATGGGAAGAAATTCGATGGAGGCCCAAACCAAAGCCTCAAAACCAGGTGGGAGGAATTTGAAATCCAGAGTCGCCTTGGTCCATCCCATGTATTGTGTGGACCGTAGGCTGACGTGCCAGTGTAGTTCAGTCGGATGGGCCTCAACCTTCTCCCATTCAACAGCCCTAGTTTTCCTTCACTGACTTGTAGACACTTGCTAAGAAAGTGTCTTACATGTGTGCAAGTGCATGTAAACTCTTGTCATTTCTGCACGCACATGATAGTGCCTGTGTAACACCGGCAGACCCTTGTCCTCTGTGGGTGGATTTGAACCTGGGACCTTTGTGCATGAGCCTCTATCACATGAGCTAAAAGACAACTGGCTCTTAGTTAGGCTGTGGAGCAGACTCATCATTCTCTCTGTAAATGGCCTCGGTACTACTATAGGGTTCAGTGCCCCATACCCAGTAGGTGTGTAGGTTACACCTGCAGCTTACACACATGTAGGCAAAGCTGTGGGTGTATGTTTTTGTCCCTTTTGAGTCCAAGTCCCTCACCAGCAAGACTCACACCGTGAAAAGAGACTCTGTGCTCTCCTTTTGGAGGAAGTAACATCTCCAGATTTTATGCTCAAAATGCCAGGAGGTCACTTTACTTTTGATCTATGAGGGAGGAAGAAGGAAAGTGGGGCCTGAGACTTTGACTCTGTTTTCCTTTCTGGGCTGTGTTCAGGCCTGCTGATGGGGAGTGGGGGAGAGGGAAGGGGCAACTGCCCCAGGGCCTGGCAATACAAAAGGGCCTGGAGGAAGTAACATCTCCAGATTTTATGCTCAAAATGCCAGGAGGTCACTTTACTTTTGATCTATGAGGGAGGAAGAAGGAAAGTGGGGCCTGAGACTTTGACTCTGTTTTCCTTTCTGGGCTGTGTTCAGGCCTGCTGATGGGGAGTGGGGGAGAGGGAAGGGGCAACTGCCCCAGGGCCTGGCAATACAAAAGGGCCTGGAGCGTCCCTGTAAATCACTGCCAGAGCGCCATAAGGCTGTCACCTCAGCCCTGCCCCTTCCATGTGAGGCCCCACCCCTTCCAAGGGCACAGAGCAGGCCCTTCCCCCCCCCCCCCCCCCTC